ATGGACATTGAACAATGAACCCATCATTACGGGTGAGAATGGCATCACCATTAACAAGTTGTCAGCCAAATCGAGCGTTTTGAATATTGCATCGGTGGAAAAAGAGCATCGCGGTGTGATCAAATGCATCGCAGAAAATATGGCCGGTTCCGATACATATGCGTCTGAGCTCAGCGTTAACGGTACAACTTCAACAAAATAGTAGCGCAGCGAATGAAAAAAGCGCGATCCTTTGTGTTCATACGTGCTTTGTTGTCTCTTTGTTGTATTAATCCTAGATTTTTGTTTTTTGTTCTCGGTCTTGTTTATTCTTCCTCATTCCATGAATCTGGACAAGTTTCGGTGGCAATTTTTTTTTCTGCTCTCACTTTTTCTCTTTGTGTTTCACGAAATTTTATTCTTCGATAATCGATCTAGTTCCACCACAAATTATGCCATTTGATTCATTGCTTGGTGATGAACCAACTAACACTGGCGATAGTGTTGGAATTCAATGTATGGCGAACAAGGGCGATCTACCGATTGATATTCGCTGGGTTTTAAATTCATCGCCACTTGTGTCCGGCGAAAATGGTATCACAATCGTAAAACTAAATCAACGAACCAGTTCATTGAATATCAATAGCGTGGAAGGAATACATCGTGGCGTATTCAAGTGCATTGCAAACAATCAAGCCGGAACCGCTGAGCATTCAGCCGAGTTGCAAGTTAACGGTTTGTTTTCTAACACACCCTCAACCAATGCGAGAGAAATCGCTATTTTCAAGCGATCAACAACAACAACTTGCTGTCGTTTTTTGTTTAGATTTGTGAACATTTTGATTTAAATTAATTTTCCAAACAAACACCTCTTCCGTTCAATCCATCATAATCCATGACAATTATTCGTTTTTATCATAGTTTTACCTCACATCAATCCGTTTGCATTTGATGGTAATGTGAATTTTGGCGATAGCGTTCAAATAAGTTGTCACGTAGCCAAAGGTGATTTACCGTTAAAAATCAAATGGCTATTCAATGACAACCCATTGTTTGCCCATTTAAACATTCTCACATCGAAATTGGGCGATCGATCCAGCTTTTTGACCATACCATCCGTAACGGCCGAGAATTCTGGAAATTATACATGCGCCGCAGCTTTATCGAATTATCCGGCTGGTTCGGTTGAATATACATCACAATTGATTGTTAATGGTTAGAGCATTGGGTCAATTGAATAATTATAATATTGTGTTGTGTTTGCTTTCGCATTCTTGATGATTTATTTAGACACATCCAAAATCCTGTCCCATTATCGAAATCAAAATGGTGGTCTATAGAGATCATCTTCTTCTTATTATAGAATAAGGAGATCTACGTCGGCTTCAAGGTGACTTTTTTATTGCTCAAGTCGACTGCATCAAATTATTACAAAAAATAAAATCGAATCAACTAAAACAAAATACTTGCGTTAAATATTGAATAACATTTCAATGTATTTCAAAAATCGATTGCGTAGTGCCACCGAAAATCATACCGTTTTCGTTCAGCGACGAAGCATTGAACTACGATGAGACTGTCTCAGCGACGTGTACTGTGTCCGGTGGTGATTTGCCAATTAATTTTATCTGGTTGTTGAATCGCGTTCCAATTGAGCCTAATCAGGAGATTTTAACGGAAAAACGTGGCAAACGCATTAGTGTCCTAATGATTGACTCATTGAAAGCAGCACATCGAGGAAACTACACCTGTAGAGTTCAAAATGATGCTGGATTGTTTGAATTTACTTCAGAGTTGATGGTCAATGGTTAGCTTATTTGTGACACAAACACATTTCACAACGTCGATTGTTACGATTAAGTTTCTTTTTGATTGTTGTTTGTGCATTTCTCCGTAGTCCTTTATTTCGTTTCTGTTTGGTATTTCAACATTTTCATCCCTTCTTTTTTTTAATTCCCTTTGTAAATATATACACAACATTCAACTCAGTACACTCTTTGGGAATAATTCGCCTAAATTAGACGGTGTGTTTACAAAACGAAAAATTTGGTCGTAACAAAATGTCCATTTTGGGCCGATTGTTGATTCCCAAATTGGGTCGACAAAATGTTTGGAAGAAAGTCCGAAATGATCAGAGGAAATCTTCCGTGTTCGATAAGAAGGAAATCTGATACAGGTCCATTTTGCTCGAATGTGATTTTTTTTTTCGTCATTGCCCATAAATGCATTCCTCCAGATGGAAAGTGGTTAAATTCGATCGTGTATGGCGGCCAATGTTCTCCATAATTTGTAATTGAAATTGATCCACATATTGGTTCAATGCGTGGAAAATATCAACATAATGCTAAAATATGTTGATTTCATTGTCGTTATTTTCGTTGCTGCTTGGGATTTTTGCATCACTATTGTTTCATTTTTCTTTCGTTCTTCCGTTACTTCTCACATTCAAAACAAATAAATCTCCTCTACGATTGTTCTGTGCCAGTTTTACCACACATTCACCCGTTCGCATTCGAAGAGGAGGCCAATTCGGGTGACAGTGTACAGTTGACGTGTCACGCATCGAAAGGTGATTTGCCACTAACGATCAAGTGGCTGCACAATGCGCGTCCAATGTTCTCGCATTTGGGCGTGCTAACAAATAAAATCGGAGATCGCATCAGTTTGCTAACAATACCATCGGTTAAAGATCAAAACAGTGGCGATTATCAGTGTGTTGTGGAGAACAAAGCAGGAAAAGTCAACTACACAGCACATCTTTACGTCAATGGTTAATAGAAAAAGAAAATATCCTTCGCTTGGCAGATAGAATTTAGAAAGATTTGGTTTTCATTTGATTTAATTATTATTTTTATGTCCTTTTCTCTAAGTTTTCAACCTCATTAAACTATCGATTTGCGCGCTTTGAAATTCGGTGCTTTGAATTCATATTCAATTTCATTTCCCATAGTTATACCGTCGATTATACCATTTTCCTACGATGAGATTGTCAATGTTGGCGATGCATTCAATCTATTTTGTCAAATATCCAAGGGTGATAAGCCAATCGTCATCAAATGGAATTTTCGCGGTTTTGACGATTCACGTGACATTCAAATCAATACAAAACGCATTTCGGATAAATCAAGCCTGCTGTCGATATCAAATGCGACCGCTTCGCATAGCGGCACATACACATGCATGGCTACGAACAATGTAGGCTCATCCAGCTATTCAACGAATATCACAGTGAATGGTAAATGAGATGTATAAGCGGCAAAGTGTAACCTCAAAACTAAGTTTAAATATTCAATTTGATTGACATTTTAACAAACAATGGAATCGAGTCGAATAGCAACCGATTCAATTTCTAAAACTGGCTTCGAATATCATTAGAATAACATATTTTCACATATACACACAGTAGTAGTTGAAATCAAAAAAAAAACTCATCCAGGTCAAAAGCACATCGTTTTGCATCGAGCAAATTTAAATAAAAAAAAGAATGTGAGCACATGTCGTGCGTCGACTAAAATCCATTTTCACTTTCAATACGCTTCTACTACTCTTACTTGAATCAATTCACTAACGCAACATCGATCAAATGGCAACATTCACAAAATGCACTTGAATCGACACTCAACTAATCTCAATAAAAAAAACTCTGCATATCAAATTCAAAATGCATGTAATGATGTGAATTCCATGACAAGCACCATTCATTTTCCAAGAAAAAAAATCAAAACTCATACAGTCAAAACTGAAACGGCGCGCAATGCTTGCGGCAATTTGAATGTACTTTGAGGATAAAATAGATACGGCAATTCGTTTGGTTCACAGGATTTTGTTTGAATACAATTTGTTAGCGGTGAAAATATGTTCATGTGGTTTTATGTATCGTTTGATTAGAACCACCGAAAATAGCGACGTTTTCATTTGGCGACGAGCCATTAAAATTCGGCGAATCGGCATCGGTACAGTGTACGATATCTGGCGGTGATTTGCCAATGACTGTTCAATGGATGTTGAACGGCATCAAAATTCCACCGCATTTGGAAGTAACGACGGCAAAAATTGGCAAACGAATCCATGTACTATCAATCGAATCGGTTAAGGCAGACCATCGTGGAAACTATACATGTTTTGGAAAAAATCGAGCTGGCACGGCTGAGTTTACAGCACCGCTCATTGTTATCGGTTCGTGTGTTGTAACTGTGATAACTATTCACTCTCTTTGTGTGGGTTGTCACATGGCATTTTGCTAGTTTTAGTTATGTGTTGAAATGATTAGGAATATTTGTGTTTCATCAGTTGAAAAGGATGCTATTTCAATGGTTTTAAATTCTAGTTTATGTATTTTTATCATCCTTTAACCCCCCAAAAAAAAAATGTTTATGTTATTCCATCGACGTTTATGTTATGCGATTCTGATCTGATTGGCAATGGGAATTTAGTGCCGCCGAAAATATCGCCGTTCGATTTTGGTGAAGAACCATTGAATTTCGGTGAACCGGCATCGGTTCAGTGCACAATATTGGGCGGTGATTTACCAATGACTATAACATGGCTGCTGAACAATCAATCCATTGAGCAAATGCATGATGTGTCATTGTCAAAAATTGGAAAGCGTATTCATGTGCTGTCGATTGAATCGGTGTCCGGTCACCATGCTGGACTGTATTCGTGCCGGGCCAAAAATACTGCCGGCCTATCTGAACATTCGGCTCTTCTTTCGGTCAATGGTTTGTGTTACTTTGACGAAAAAGTCGGCTTAAGTTGTTCTGTGTGAATGGCAAAGTAACAAATTGTTTAGTTTTAGATGATTTTTCTTCTGTTTGATTTCCTCCCTCTGTTTCCCTTCCACCCACTGTTTGGATCATTTGTACGAAGTTTTATCATTTTTTTTTTCTCGGAAATGTTTTTAATACATAGTACCGCCAAAAATCACCCCGTTTTCCTTTGGTGATGAGCCCATGAATCAGGATGAACCAGTGTCCATTTCGTGCACAATATCCGGCGGTGATCTACCCATAAATGTGCGATGGACATTGAATGGCGGTGAAATTGAATCGTGGCATGAAATTTTAACGGAAACTCGTGGCAAACGCATCAATGTCTTGATGATTGAATCGTTGAAAGCAAAACATGCTGGAAATTATAGTTGCAATGCTGAAAATGCAGCTGGCATCGTTGCGCATTCATCCGAATTAATTGTGAATGGTTAGCTTATTTGTGCACACAAGCACAATTCACAACGTCGAATGTTACGATTAAGTTTCTTTTTGATTGTTGTTTGTGCATTTCTCCGTAGTCCGTTATTTCGTTTCTGTTTAGTATTTTAACATATTCATTCCTTCTTTTTTTTATTCCCTTTGTAAATATACACACAACATACAACTCAATACAATCTTCGTGAACAATTGATTCCAATTAATTCACAAATACTAGGGACCAACTAAACACTAGAATTAATTTTCGGTTAATTTTCTTTTTCGATTGATTACTCTTCAAATGAACCTTATTTTTTGATCAAACCTCTTTCATAACTTGAATCAAACAGTGCCGCCAAAGATAGTTCCATTTTCGTTCGGCGACGAAGCAATGAATTATGATGAGACCGTTTCAGTAACGTGTACCGTGTCTGGCGGTGATTTACCCATTAATTTCATTTGGCTGTTAAATCGCGTTCCGATTGAGCCAAATCAAGATATTTTAACGGAAAAACGAGGTAAACGCATCAGCGCACTGACAATTGATGCTCTGAAAGCAGCACACAGGGGTAACTACACCTGTCGAGTCCAGAATCAAGCAGCATCGGTTGAATTTACTTCAGAGTTGATGGTCAATGGTTAGAATGACCAATGATGTTATCTTTGTTATTAAGCTTCGAATATTGTTACCGTTCGTGTATTAGTCTATTGTTTTTATATCCAGAAATCCCATCCCAAAAAATAAATCATCGTTTCCTAAGTGTGGCCGCATTAAAATGAACAATTTTTTTTTCGAACATTTTGACGAACAGTAACACCGAAAATAGCACCATTCGACTTTGGCAATGAACCATCAAATTCCGGTGATTCGGCTAGTGTTCAGTGTTTGGTAACATCGGGTGATTTTCCCATTGAATTCAAGTGGTTGTTCAATGAACGGCCCGTTTCGGAGATATTTGGCATTTCAACGGTAAAATTAGGCAAACGAACGTATGCATTAACCATTGACGCGGTCAGTGGTAAGCATATGGGTAACTATACCTGTATGGTTCAAAATGAGGCAGGAATCGATCGTTACAGCGCTGCTCTAATTGTTAATGGTAAATGAGGAGGCGAAATCCTAATTTTAACATTTTAGCTCGAGTAAATGTTGTTCGGTTTTATTTTGGCGGATTTTCTTCATCAAAAATGATTTCTTTTCATTCTTTCTGGGAACTTTATGCTCTCTTTTCTTTCATCTTATTTTCAATAATATTCCAATATTTTGTGTTTTCCATTCGTTCAACAACACCCACACATTGACCTGACAACAACATACAGTTCCGCCATCAATTGCTCATTTCAATTTCGGCGATAAACCGTCCAATTTTGGCGATTCGGCTAGTGTACAGTGTTTGGTAACGTCCGGCGATTTGCCCATTGATTTCAAATGGTATTTCAATGGACGCCCAGTGAAAGAGTACTCGGGAATAACAACGGTGAAATTGGGCAATCGAAATTCGGTGTTGAATATTGATTCCGTAACGGGAAAGCACAGCGGTCAATATACCTGTGAATCATCGAACAGCGCTAATTCTTTGAACTATACCGCCGAATTGATTGTTAAGGGTATAAAGAAAAGAAGAACCAGCATTCTACAAATTTTTGTTTAAATTTTTATGGCTTTTTCTTCATTATATTGTAACCTTGTCCCTATCCCTCGATCGACACATTTTTTTTCTCCATCGTTAAATTAATCGGTTTCATTTGAATCAATTGTAGTGCCACCAAAAATCGCTCCATTCGACTTTGGTGAAGAGCCATCGAATTTCGCTGATTCGGCTAGTGTTGCATGTCTTGTCACAACTGGCGATATGCCAATTTCCTTTAAATGGTTTTTCAATAATCGGCCCGTCAAAGAATTTGCTGGCATCACAACGGTGAAATTGGGCAATCGCAATTCGGTGCTTAATATCGATTCGGTGACGGGAAAACATGCGGGGCTATACACTTGCGAAGCATCTAATCAAGCAGCATCGATTAATTACACTTCGCAACTCATCGTTAATGGTATTTAGAATGGCGAGAAAAGAGTGCATCTGTCGAAACAATTACTTTTTTTTGTTGATTAAGTTAACAATTAAATTCTTACTATTTTCCATATGTTTAGTGAATTCTTAACCATCCAAATTTTGTTTATATCCAAAAAAAAAGTGCCACCAAAAATCGCTCATTTCGATTTCGGTGAAGAGCCATCGAATTTCGGCGATTCGGCTAGTGTGCAATGCTTAGTGACTTCGGGCGATCTACCAATCGAGTTTCGGTGGCTGTACAATGGTCGACCGGTCAGCGAAGTGGCTGGCATCACAACGGCCAAAATGGGCAAACGAAATTCCGTTCTAACCATTGACTCAGTCACTGACCAACATGTGGGTAACTTTACGTGTCGCGCATCAAACTACAACGGTCAATTCAGTGCTACAATGGTCAATTTCACCGCTGAACTTATCGTCAATGGTACTACTAGGCAACAATCAAAACGGCTGATTCTTTTCGTGTAGTTTATGTTTATTTCTCATTTTATCCCATCCCAAACTATCCTTGCATTTGATTTTCATCCATGAAATGATTTATTGCGTATGGAAAAATGGTTTCAATACACATTTGACTCGGAAAAAAGTTTAAATTCGCGAATTTTTTCTTCGATCAATGAATTCAACACTTGAAGTCGTTTGCTCCAGAGCTTTCGATGAAAAAAAAAAACCATCAAATGGTCAGTCTGCCTTCCATATTCTGATTTTCATGAAACAATTATGGTTTTCTCCTTCAACATCAGTTATGCCAGTGATCGTTCCATTCGCGTTGGGCGATAAGCCGGCTCACATGGATCAATTCCTATCGATTACATGCGCAATTTCCGATGGTGATTTACCATTGAACATTTTTTGGACGTATAACAATCAACCCATAACACCTGACATGGATGTAAGTATTTCGAAATTGGGCAAACGTACCAGCGTTCTCACCATCGATAGCGTTAACGGACATCACGCTGGTCAATACACATGTCATGGGAAGAACGGGGCGGGCAGCACAAACTATACAACTGAACTTAAAGTGATCGGTGTGTTTCGACCGTTGTCTCTATTTTTCTACAGGCTTTCTAGAATCGTTCTTGAAACGTCCTATGTCCATAGTATAAGTGGTTTCAATTTATTCTTTAAGCAGTCGTCCCAAACTCCCACACTGATTCTTCTATTGTTATGGAAATCTGTTTGAAATGGTCTCGATTCTTCTGCTTCTCAGTCTTCCTCCACATTTCTCTTGTGAACTGTGAAATTCAACACATTTTAACATGATTGCGAAATGAAATTGCGTCAAATATTCAAATTCACTTTATATATTAATGAAAATGAAATGAAAGAAAAGAAAAAATTGACTTGATTTCCAGTATTGCCGAAAATCACTCCATTCTCACCCGGTTCGGATGCATTCTACCCCGGTGATTATTTCTCGGTGCAATGCTCAATAATGCACGGTGATTTGCCCATTTCAATCTACTGGAAATTCAATGATCGCATCATTGAGGGCAATACTGAGTTGCTCATCTCGAAAATGGGCTCACGAAGCAGTGTCTTAACGATTGAATCGATTCGTGATTATCATGCGGGAAATTATTCATGTTTTGGAAAAAACGCAGCCGGAATTACGAATCACAGTGTGGCACTCGTTGTCAATGGTTCGAAAATTTTACTTTCTCTTCTTAATTTTTTCTTTCGTTTTCCGTTTTGGTTTCGTTTGTTACATATTTTATTTGGTGTTTTTGGTTTGGCTTTTTATTTCTAGTTTATAATTTGCTACTTTGTTTAGAATTTCTTCATCCCAATATTTCTGCTTCGATTTTCATGGGTGATTCGAATAAACACATAAGTGCCAATTGGTGAAATAGACAAAAGGGTTGGCATACACATTAAACACACACTCTCTCTCACACACACACACAAACACTATAATTCAAGTGATACAAACGCGTGTCATTATGGCCGATCGATCACAAATACAATAAGCACTTCGATGCGCATTTCAAACGAATGTGTTCTCATTTTGTTTACAGTACCACCAAAACTAGCACCATTTGGCATTTCCGATGAGCCATTACATTTGGGCGATTATTTTCAATTGACTTGTGCAGTGGTGCACGGTGACTTTCCATACAACATCACGTGGTACTTCAACGATGAACCGATCACATATATTGACGGTGTCACAATACTGATGCATGGCAAACGAAGCAGTTCGCTGAACATCGATTCCGTTTCCGGTGCACATTCGGGAAACTATAGTTGCATCGGATCGAATGTAGCCGGGCGTGCAAGCATTACAACAACACTGTCTATACGGGGTTTGTGTTTGCTCATTCAATTTTCACTCAGTCTCTTTCACACGCAAAAAATACGCGCTTCAAAAATGTCGCTTAAACTCGCTGAACCAACCATTTTGTTTGTTTGTTGTTTTTTTAGTTTCTCTTTTTTTTCATTAGTTTTATTTTGTTTGTGATATAATTTATTTGAACGTAGAACAGTTGAATTGGCAAATTTTTTCCGAATATTCCAATGCGAACGACGAATAACGCAAAGTTTTCATGTCAACACATAAACTTTTGATTGAAATTCAACTTTTCATCGTTTCGAATCACTCTGGTCTACTATAGTTTGATTTCGGTTTTTATTTATCCTTTTCCTTTCGATCGAACCAAGCAATCGAACTGTTGCTCAGTGTGTCCCATAATCAAAACTCTGTGAATGGAGCCGTATTTTTTCGTTCCCTGACGCCATCGAGGATTCTTTTAGAAGAATAAGCTTCAATTTTGCGCAAAGGAAGAAGTACTCTCGTACTAGAAAACCTTTAAATTTTTGTTTTGCCAAAATCTTCAAAATTCAAAAGTTTTCCATCGTTTTACCATAAAAACAACAATTTTCATGTCATCGGAGGTTTTAGAATCGATTCCGAGGCGCGAAAATATTCGGTTTTAAAAACTTTATCTTCACTTTAGCGATGCCTATCTTCATGTCCAAAGCCATTTTGTTGATGAAACTGCAAACAGAGATATTTTCCGAAAAATTTAATTCAATCGAAGCCGAACACTGAAAATCATATCGAATCAATGGTGCCATTCAAAAGCGTTCGTGGTCATCAAAAATGGGTCAGAATGGCCGGAATTGAATCGAATTTTTTTCCACCAAATTGATGTTGTTTTCATCTCCGTCGAGGTTTTCGCATTTATCAAATCCACCAACAATCATCCAGTCCATATTTTCTTATGATTTTAAAATCCTTTAACAATTCCGTTTTCATTTCATCACACATTGCTTTTAATTTGAATGAGTTTATTTTAAGTCTAACAAAACATTTGAAATGTTGATTCATCGATCAAATAATTGCACGTCGACAATCATGTTTTCATACGCAGTCGCATACCATGCAATTCGATCACATTTGTATGCCGCACATTTTGAAACGATAACAAAAACACAGCCGATACATTTGCTAAGTCACACAATGATCATCATTGTTTTACATTCACATACATTTGATGCATTCGAATTGATTGCATTTTGAAAGAGAGAGAGAGAGAGAGAGAGAGAGAGAGAGAGAGAGAGAGAGAGAGGAAATGAAACGACACATACACACAGTTGCTTGCCGACTCAAGTGATCAAAGCCATTTCGAAATTGAAAAGAAAAATATCCATAACAATCGTAACGCTACACACGCTCACACCAAACAGATCGTCCAGAATATCATCCATTCCTTTCCCAAACCCCTTCCACTCCCAATTTCCTTACTTATTCTCTTTAGTTTCTTGATTTTGACTTTGGTTGAGTATTTAATTTTCTTTTGCATGCTAAAACACCGTATCGAAACATCAGAAAGTGTAAAATATTGATACAAACGAAAGACTCTATCTTTCTGATTCTCGATATTGATGTGGCCTTTCACTTTGGTTTGGTTTCTAACAATTTCATTTTCTTTATTATTTCTCCTAACACATTTCATTTCAGTTTATTTGGGCTTTTTGTTGCTTATAATTTTGTAGCTATTGCATGGTTTGTGTTTAAGTAAAAGCAAATGATTTGGATGCATTCGCATTTGCACAACGATTTAAATCGCAAAAAAAAACAAATTACGAAAAATCACTCCAAATTTTTCACTTTTACATGATTTTGTTCTTTTATGTAGAATCAACTTCCGAAAGAAGGTTTTATGAAAAAAATGTGCTGAAATCATCAGATATTCACTCAGAATTGGACGAATATAACTCAATTTTCGGTTCTGATTGAGAATTTGTTTTTTAAATTTTTGTTCTAATTTTTTTTTGAATTTTTCCACATGAAATTGAATTTTTCGCATTAAAAAAAAATGATATGAACAAAATTGTTCCATTTCGTCATTATTGGGTTCAAAATCTGATGTATCTGCCACTTTTCTCATAATTCCTTCATTTAATCGAAACAGAATTTGAATTTCAACAATTTCATTTGAAATTTAAAAAAAAATATCAAAAAGGAATGTTAAATATTTTTTTTTCATATCAAGACTGGTTTAGGATTGGTTTAGGTAAAAAAATCAAACCAAAATTCAAATTCTGATTCGAGTTTTTATATTTGAATTGTCCATTGTAACTGGTTCGCATTCATTTAAAAAAAAAATTAATGTTAAATGCTTGAAAAAGAATCGTCTTTTTCAATTGAGTAAATAATATTAATAAATGACAAAAAGCAAGCGATATTCAGTTACAAAAGAAATATTCAAATATAAAAGGAGTTCAAAATGTTGTTGAATCGTGAATTAAATGCATTTAAAAAAAAATGAATATGATGACTAATTCGTTGCAATTTTTCCAATTGAATCACTTGAACAGTACCACCAAGATGGATTTTGGAGCCAACCGACAAGGCCTTTGCTCAAGGTTCAAATGCCAAGGTGGAATGCAAATCCGATGGTTTCCCGAAGCCACAAATTGTTTGGAAGAAAGCTGTTGGTAAGTATTCAACTCTTACACCAAACCCAATTATTTCCCACAAAAACACGACAATAAAATGAATTTCCATCAATTTCAGGTGATACTCCTGGTGAATACAAGGACATGAAGGCAAACGATAACATTCGTGTGGATGAGGGAACTTTGTACATCAACAACATTCAGAAAAATAACGAAGGATACTATTTGTGCGAGGCGATCAATGGCATTGGATCTGGTTTGAGTGCGGTGATTTTGATCAGTGTCCAGGCTCCACCGGAATTTGCTGAAAAACTACGAAATCAAACTGCTCGTCGTGGTGAACCGGCTGTTTTGCAATGCGAAGCAAAGGGCGAAAAACCAATTGGCATCTTATGGAATATGAATAACATGCGTTTGGACCCAAAAACCGACAATCGATACACAATTCGCGAAGAGATTCTGGCCACCGGTGTTATGTCCTCACTGTCAATCAAACGCACTGAACGCACGGATTCGGCTTTGTTCACCTGTGTTGCCACAAATGCATTCGGTAGTGACGATGCTAGCATCAACATGATCATTCAAGAAGTGCCAGAAATGCCATACGCTTTGAAAGTCTTGGATAAATCGGGTCGAACAGTGCAATTGAGCTGGGCCAAACCATACGATGGCAATTCACCACTCAAACGTTATATCATTGAATTTAAAACGTCTCGCGGTTCATGGGAACATGATGTTGATCGAGTCATTGTGCCGGGTCATACAAACGAAGCTCAAGTGCAACAATTGAGTCCAGCCACCACATACAATTTCCGCATCGTTGCTGAGAATGAAATTGGTGTATCCGATTCATCGGAAGTCGTTCCAATCATCACTGCCGAAGAGGCTCCATCGGGCAAACCTCAAAACATCAAAGTCGAACCCACTTCACAGACATCGTTGCGCGTTACATGGAAAGCACCACCACGTTCCGATTGGAATGGTGAAATTTTGGGATACTACGTTGGCTACAAATTGTCCAGCTCGAACAGTTCATACTATTTCGAAGAAGTGAAATACTCAATGGAAGAGGGCAAAGAATACAGTTTGGAATTGACAAATTTGAAAACGTACACACAATACTCGGTTATCATTCAAGCGTACAATAAAGTTGGTGCCGGTCCAATGAGTGACGAAGAAAAACAATACACTGCTGAAGGTACACCAGACCAACCGCCAAGCGATACAATGTGCACAACGCTCACCTCACAAACGATTCGCGTGTCATGGGTCAGTCCACCGCTTGAATCGGCCAACGGTCTTATCAAAGGATACAAAGTGGTTTATGCACCAAGCGAACTGTGGTACGATGACAAGAACAAAAATTATAAGAAAACTGCCTCCAGCGATACGGTTTTGCACGGCTTGAAAAAGTACACGAATTATACGATGCAAGTGTTGGCCACAACAACCGGCGGTGACGGTGTACGAAGTTCTCCAATTCATTGTCAAACAGAACAGGATGGTAAGTTGGAATCAAATTAAAAAAAGGGGTTTTTTTTTCTTTGAAAAATAATTTAATGAATTTTCTCACTCTTTCACAGTTCCTGAGGCTCCAACTGCTGTCAAGGCTTTGGTATATGGTGCACAAGCAATTTTGGTATCATGGCGACCACCGACACAACCAAACGGAATCATTTCACAATATACTGTTTACTCGCGCGAAGAAGGAAGCGAAGCCGAACCAAAGAAGGAAAAAGTGCCAGCATATCAAATGAGCTTCGAAGCATCCGGTCTTGAGATGAACAAACCATACGAGTTCTGGGTGACAGCCAGCACAAATATTGGCGAAGGACAACAGTCAAAGAGCGTTATTTCCATACCGAGCGATAAAGTACCGGCCAAAATTGCCTCATTCGATGACACATTCATTGCCACATTCAAAGAAGATGCCAAATTACCTTGTCTCGCTGTCGGTTCACCCACACCAAATATCACATGGAAGGTGCGTATCATTACAGTCTTTCTAAAATCAAATTATCGATTGCATGAATCGAAAGCGAAGACTAAAATCAAAATTTTCTTTTTGAAATTGCAGGTAAAAGGCGCCGATTTCGTACCAAATGAACGTATGCGAATTCTTGCACAAGGAACACTCTTCATCAAAGATGTTATTCGACAAGATGCCGGTGATTATACATGCGTTGCAGAGAATTCAATTGCCAAAGACTCAATAACACACAAATTGACGGTTTTAGGTATTATTTACAGTCATTTAATTATATGAAGTGGTCTTCAATTATGATTATGACCATATACTAATTTAAATCCTTTTTCAGCTCCACCACAATCACCGCAAGTGACATTGACCGCAACAACGACTGATTCACTAACACTGAAATTGAAACCACATGAAATGGACTCAGCACCAATTCATGGTTACACATTGCACTACAAACCGGAGTTTGGTGACTGGGAAACAGTTGAAGTGGCTGTTGATGCACAGAAATACACAATCGAAAGTCTGTTCTGTGGCTCACGTTATCAAGTCTATGCTACTGGATATAACAGGTAGGAAGATTTTCCATAAACATTAATCAGATATTTGTTGAAAATCTTTTTTTTTTGAATTTTTTGTTTCTTTCAACTAAATTTGAATATTTTTTTCTTGACTTGATTGAATAATTTTCCTTTTTTATCAACCAGCATTGGTGCCGGCGAAGCCTCAGACATTTTGAACACACGGACCAAAGGATCGAAACCAATAATGCCAGAGAATTCCAAATTCATTGAGCCATCATCGAATTCGGTGACATTGCATCTACCCACATGGAAGGATGGCAGCTGCCGAATGTCACATTTCGTTGTTGAACACAAGAAAAAGTATATTTCACACCAAAACCTGTTCGATTTTGTAAAAACCATTCAAAATGCGCCACATTCACTAAATGGTTGCATCATTTCAGGGATCACATTGAATGGAATCAAATTTCGAATAATGTGAAACCCGGCGGTAATTTTGTGGTGCTCGATTTAGAACCAGCCACATGGTACAATGTTCGAATTACAGCTCACAATAGCGCCGGTTTCACAGTAGCTGAGTATGAATTTGCCACATTGACCGTGACCGGAGGTATTTGCTTTCTGTTCAAAATACAATTTGTATAGTTGAAAAATGTACTCGAGGTAAACTGCAGCTCTCGCGGTTGAAATTAAATGGCAATCGAAAATTGCAAATTGGAACGAAATGTTCACAAAATCGCCCATTTATGGACATGCGCTGTTTTCTCGTACATTTTTCAACAAACAAAGAAAAATTGCTCATGACAAACGTATGCAGAACATAAATGAATATGCATTGGTACCACGTTCTTCCCAAAAAGAGAGAAAAAAAAACACACGAAATTTTCTTTGTACAAATCGCTGTTTAAAACTGCATTCGTATTACAGTGAGAAATTGAATATCGGTATCGGTCTTGATGAAATGTTGATTGAGCTCGCCTGAAAATACGAATGCAACTCGATGATGATCTCCGAAGCGTGCACAGCATTTGCCCAAAAACACATTACACAAATTGCGCTGCAATCGCTTACGAGATCACTTCAATTGTAGAATTTGTATTTAATCTGTATAAAATCCTGAGTAATTTAGAGACAGAAACAAAAACTGTGCGCTCAATCACAGCTTCACCAAAAAAAAAGTATGCAAAATTAAAAACAGAATCATTTTTATTTGTTTGATTTGATTTTTCGTTATGTAAATAATCAGTCGAATAACCGGCCCAGATCTTCGTTTCCCCGGTTTTCTCTTCAGTTGATTCATTTTGTAGCTTGAACAAATTTCTTTGCTTTTCTTTTTGGTTTAATTTTTCGCGGGCCGGTTTGTGTTTCATTCAAGTCTTTTGCCATTTTTAGCAGAAATTTTCGTTTAATTTTCAATATCCCCCCAGAAGAAAAACAAAAATTGGTTTCATTCTCCCCCACACATAAGTTTCCTCAGCCAGGTATCAAGAATTCACCACCATCCAACATTTACACACACACACACACACAGTAGAAACACCAAACATTAAAACACCAATCCATTTACATGTTTTTTTTTTCTTTCGTTGTTGTTATTATTCTTTAGTTGATGCCATTTATCTTAGAAGTTTTAAGTTTAAACTGCCTTTTTTAACATCCATTTTGTTTCATGATTTGTCGCCAATTCTGCGTTTGATTTTTTTACGCCATTCTTGAGTTTCATTGTCTTTTTTCGATATCATCATATAAGCCCATTTATAATCAACATGCAATTTAAATGTGTTTTTGTTTTACATTCATGGTCCTTTGACTGTGTTCTCTTTTGTTTCGTTCCATTTTATGACCAAGTTGAATCACATACACATTCATTCAAACACTCAATCAAATTGAGGCATTTTTTTTTCTGATTTGGAACTCAATTGTTGTGTTTATTTTGTAGAAATCAAATGGTAGAATTTTCGCACCTATTCCACGAACAACAAAAAACCGTAGATATTTCAATTTTTCCGAGGCTAAACTAAATGTGTAGCTTTTAGACCATGTTTCCACCGAAATTCAATTATGCCCACACTCTTTCAATAGCCGCCAAATATATTTATACAGACACCAATTAGTCCACCATAGACACAAACACACCAACTTAGTCCACTCAACTGTTTTCTTTGCGAACAGCAAAAGAGTGTACAGAAAAAAAAAACGAAGAATGTCTGTCGATATGTTTAAGAAATGTGTATGTTATTCAACAAATATTGTTTTTTGTTTCAATTTTATCAAAAAACTATTCAGTTGAATTTTTCCTTATATTTATGTTTATGAAAACCAGAAAAAAAAGAACAACTTTTTTTGCAACTAAATGAATGTAAAGTATTTAATTTATAAGTGGGAGCTAAATTTGATATCACACTCAGACAGTGATTCTGAGTCCCTGAAACAACCTACAATTGCTATCTGACAATGAATCAATAAGCTCAACATCAATATTATTTCATTTTTCGTATATACGTTTATTTGTTATCATTCATTTGAATAATCGGTCAATTGATGTTCTTAGATTTTCCGTTCGATTTTCGTAATTCGGCTCAATTCAAACAACAATAGAAATCATTTTTATTTACCAATAAACAAAACAAAAAAAAAACGAAAGAAAAACAATGAAAAATGAAAACAAAAGCAGAAAAACTCGACTAAATTTTAAAAGTCAATTTTCGTTCGTAAAAAATAGGGACCCATCATTTTTTTTTGGAAGAAAAATATGATGATCCACATCATTTCGAATTAGCGGAACAATAACGATTCTTTTTTGTCTTTTTTTGCATTTAAATCTTTTTTCAATTAAATTGTTTACTTCTGTTCAGTCATTCTCTAAACATTCAAATCATCATTCATCATATTCCATATGCATCAAACCCGTTTGTCTTTTTTTTAATTGATTTTTTTTTTTGAGAGGTTAACAACGTTCCAATCACCTCATCGTTTTTAGCAAATCATGGATTTTTTTCGGTTATGTTTCAAGTCATCTCATATCCTCATGTATGTTTTCATTGATTTTTTTCTGGCAAATTTTCATTTTTAAATAAACTTTTCGTTCGACTCCAATGAAAAACACTAATCACACTTGTTCTCAAATCATATTCTCTGAATTATTCCTACCCCTCATGCAACAACAACAAAAAAAAACACAGCTGATTCAATTTTTAATAACAACAAATAATAATCCAATATTTTTTACATTTTGAATTCATTTTGCATCCGTCTCATCCATATGAATCCTTTTCTTACTTGCGATTTTTTCTTTTCGTTTCGACATAGATAAATATCTTTCTTTTCATTTTTCGCTTCTTTCTCTGATGAAAACAAACAAGACAACAAAACACACACAAATTTTACCAAATGAATCAACAATTTTTATTCTCTCTTTCTCTATGTCTTTTCTCTTTTTTAATCTATGGATTAATTCCGTTCCCATTTGATTTTCTTTATTTTTTTCGCTTTCAGCAATTAATTCAATTTTTTAAATACGAAATCAAACTCTCGTTACAAAAAACCAAAAAAAAAAACGTTAAACAAAAACAAATAAAAATGATTATATTGATTAAAAAAAAAACAGTTTAATATTCCGATTTAAACCATGTTCCAATAGAAAATGGAAGAAAACATGTGTTTTTTTTTTGTTCAAATTTATGTTTATTAGCAAAACAAAACACAACAAAAATTCAAATGAAATATAAACAAAAAATGGCTTTTTGGTTCGTTCTTTTCGTAAATTGTGGTTGTTACAGGGACGATTGCACCCTCACGCGATATTCCTGATCTCACTGCTGAGGAAACCATACGCATCATTCTGTCGAATATGAATCTCGTGGTACCAGTTATATGCGCCATCGTAGTAATTATTATTGCGATTGTTGTTATCTGTATACTGCGTAGCAAGGGCAATCATCACAAAGGTACTTTCAACAAATCTGTTTTTTACTAACTGCCGTCGTTTTTTTTTTCTTTCTCTCTCTTTCTCTTCCCCTTTCACTGTGTTCTTTTTTTTATTTTTGAAATGTTTATTTGTTTTTTGATGACCAAAAAAAAAACCAATTATCATGCGAACTCTGTGCCTTTATGAATGTCTGTCATAACTTATGTGTCGGTTTCAATGAAAAAAAAAATCGTATTGAAACAAAAAAAATTTCAAAAATATGAACGAATCGCTGAATTTGTTTCGAATGCGTTGTTCAATCAAAAACGAATGTCGGGAAAAACAATCGAATGGACACGTGGTGGTTGGACCGAATGGATCCGAATGGGTTTGTAATTGATAAAAATAGGTACATTGGCACCACCGTTGGATAGTGTTCATCGTTTTGACAGCAATGGCCATCCGATTTATTTGCCACCATGGATGAGCGACTGGCTCAATCTCAACGTAATGGTTCCAATGATCGCAATGATTGTGATTATCGTCGGCATTCTAGTCATTTGTATCGCTCTAACTCGACGACGTGTTGACATGCGAAATGGACAAAAGGATGTATACTGTAGGTTCAAATGGATATTTAACGTCACTTAATCGAGAAAAAACTATCATCTCAAGTTCAATTCCATTCCATGGACTAGCAACGATTCGATTGTTTTTTTTTTCCTATGAAACGACTACAAACATTCAAAACAAATGAAAAACTAGCATATTCTGGCACAGAGCTTCGTAGACAGACACGCAAACATTTTGTTTTAATTTGTTTTTATATTAAATGAACTTGAAACAAAAATGGGCGACTGAATTAAATTGCATTTATAGGAGACGGATTGTCATGATTGTCTCAATTGATTTGACTCAGATCGCCCATTGAACTAACGTTAATTTTTATGGTTGCTCCTTCAATATTTGATTTGTCATTGTTTTATGTTTTTTTTTTATTTTCGTTTACACTCTCGTTCATTTTCGATCCAGACGAAGAGTGTTTTCGTTTCTTTTGATTTTCCAATGGAATGACATTGTTTCAAATGTGGTTCAAGGTCATTTTCGTTTTTGTATCATATCTTTTTCGAAACTAACATGGCTGATTTTTGCAATCATATATCGTAGTTGGACGTGCGGATGCATCATGCTTAATCGCACACAGCTTTCAAATGGCTTTGCCGCTCGCAAATTTCAAATTGAATTATATAAAATCAGCCAATTGCTTCTTGGGTTCTTTTTTGTTCCTGTTTTCACTTGTATCATTTTAGATGAATCGATTGTGTTTTATGTACTTACTGTAGTTTTCTTTCTCCCCTTCTAATTCGATTGAAATGTACTTCGATTGCAAAAAGAATGGGTAACAGAATGGAGCATTGGGGACAACATAATGACCACCAGATGTGCACCACTCACACATTCTTTGCAATCGATTTGTGCAGCATTTGGGTTTGGAGTTTCGTTTTTATTAGCTTTTATTTTATCGTTTTCCATTTGGTTTGGCTCTTTGTTTCTTCACTTCGTAGTTAGAATGTAACTTTTTGTCTAATTCCATTAGATTAAATCTTGAACAAAAAATAACTATTTAAGAATTGTATATTAAAAGTAAGATGCTTTTCATTATCACCATAACAAAAAAAAAAAGAATCACACGCTCTCTCACAAAGCCATTAATACACGCTCCGGGATATGTGCAACACCAAAAAAAAAACACGCAAAACACATAAAAATCACGAAGCCCGCCTTCGAAATCATATCACGTTTGTTGTTTTTTATTGTTGATATTTTTACTATGCACGTGCCATTCCAAAGCAAGCATATATTTCACACCAACCATATTGGCATTAAAAATCATTTTTGAAAGAGCGCAACGGCGAAAAACGCTCCCCGAAATGGGATTAAATTGCATTGAATTGTGTACAATTTTCGAACCGTTGCTCGACTTTCATTTACGACATTTGAAGCTTTGTTTTGATTTTCTTCACTTGTAAAACACACCATACACATCTTCAGCCACGCTCAGCTCTCAACAATTGTCACATTCTTTTTACTTACTCTCCCCTCTCCTCCAACCACCGAATATCTCACTCCATGTGTCTATAAAAATCACTTTGATTTCATTTCGATATCGGTTGTTAGTTTATCACTTCCATTTTTGCCATTACACATTTTACACCCTTATCAGTTCCCATTATGACTCGGTTTCTTTTCAATTTTTATGACACACAAGCACATCGCTCATAGTTTTGTTCATTTTTATGTACTTATCGTTAAAATAGTTTCAGTTTTCGCACATTTACACGTTTTTGCAGAAGAAAAAAAAAATTAAGAATTTGCTTGTGAATGCGCCACGATTCGATATGAAACTGTCAAGCTTTTGCAATGAAAATTCGCTTTGATACACGCTTTTCAACACATTTTTTTTACTACTAAATAACCTCCTTCTTAACTCCTTAGATGGAGTACTAATAAATTGGTTCAAAATATAAAAAATTAAAGATTCGTTCGATAAAGCGAACATTCTTTCCACAATAACTCGAAATCGAACCAAAAAAGAATAAATGAAAGTAATTTGCTCATTAGGTTTGATTTTGTGGAAAAAAGCTTAACATTTTAGCATCGAATGTGCCACTTTTGGAAAGTAATTTTATTTTATTTACCGCTATGTGTTTTGGTTTGGTTATTAATCCCATTTTTGAGTATCGATCATAACGCCCCGGACGGAAAGCATACTTCTATGTTTCTATTACAGTATTTTATTAGAGTATGCTGTCCGTCCGAGGCGTTATGGTCGCCATTCCCATTTTTTGTTTCATTTTTCTGTTTGGATTTCAATTTAGTTTGTGCTAGACATTTCGGTTTTGTTTTTGAGGCAATATTTTGTTGCATTTTGAATTATTTACTCAATTTTAGTCACAAATAAGCTAGAAAATTCTTTGTGTACATTAAGTTTACTTGGATTTTCGATTGGTTCTCTTTTTTCTCTCGCTTAAAACGAGTGAAATTTTCTTTTTTTCTTCGAAACACACTACTAATCGTAATGAAACAAAAAAAAACGAAACATAGACAATTGACAAAACAAATATACAGGCTTTGGAGAAAAACAAAGCAAAGTCCGAACGAAAACAAAATTCAAAGGAAAAAAAAAATTCGAATCCAAATTGTATTCGAGATGAGAATTCCGAAAACAAACGAGAAAAAAAAACAAACAAACACACGTACACTATCTGAGTGACTGGTAACAAAAGCATCTTAATAACAATTCTCTTTCGCTGGGACAATTAATTAATTATAGACGATGTAGTTTACAATCAGTCAATGGGACCAGGCGCTACGTTAGACAAACGACGACCAGATTTACGTGATGAATTGGGCTATATTGCGCCGCCAAATCGTAAATTACCACCCGTACCCGGATCCAACTACAACACCTGTGACCGCATCAAACGAGGCACTGTTATCAGTAAGTATTCGCTCGCTGCCGCTTATTGAGGCATACATTTTTCATTATTTTAGCTGGTATTTTCAGGGCTATTGCCATTTTTTTTCAAAGCGTGACCAATAAAAAACGGCTTTATTTTTTGAAATAAAGCGTCACAATGAAATAGCTGAGAAACAAGCATCAGCAGATGATGCTATCGCGCGTATTTTCGTCATTTGAGATTTACAATAAGGCAACGCAATTTGAACAATTTCCAAAAAGAAAGAAAAGAAAACAGTAAAAGAAGAAAAATCCTTCGAATAAAAAGATTTTCGAAGACAAATTCATTCGAAGAACAAAAACAGCTTAGGTCCCAGTATACGTAGATAATGCATGTGAATCATTCATTTTGTGATTGTCGGTCTTCATTGTGTTTCATCATCCACACGTTCAGTACAACAATTTTTTTTTAACATGATTTGGCCAGAATCGAAATTTGTTCTTATCTAGGTGACTGCGAAAAATTCCAAATTTTGTGATTTACACAACAAGCACCGCGTACATTTGGCATAAAAAGAATATAAAAAAAACACATTGCTGAATATCTAAATACTCATGGATCATCACCAAAAAATTTGACTCAAAATTTAAAAAGGTTTTTTTTAAAAAAAAAAACACTCAAATTAAACAAAACACATTTATACACCGTCAAACTGTTTTACTGAACCGAATGACACTTAAAAACTGCATCAAACGCCTTTTATTTATTTGTTGTGGTTGTTGTTTTTTTTTTCGATCCAAAATTCCAAACTGGCCAGTCCAGTAAAATTTGATGTTTTCGCATATCATTCATCATCATATTGATTTATTCATATACACATACATACATGCATACCAATTACCATTCAAATTGCAATTTTATTTAGATATGTTATTTGTTTAGAATATATATTAGTTTTTGGTATAAGAAAAACCATATTATTTCGTATTTATTTGGTTTTAATGAAAACATCATGCAAAACCACGAATCATTTGATATAATCATTTGTCCTAAAAACAAAAATCCTTGTAAACGAAAAACCAATCAATGTAGGCCGTAGCATGAGATCAAATCATTCGACATGGGATCCGCGTCGTCCATTGTATGAAGAATTGAAAGCGCCACCAGTGCCACGAAGACATTATCATAACAACGATGACTGCTACCATGCTCATCCGCCAGGTAGAACTGTGTTCCGTATGTGTTCCATTTTTTATTATAATTTTTTTTCATTTTTCTCCTTATTTATTTGACTTTTCATTGTTTTAAGTTTGAAAAAAGAAATTAATTGGCAATATCATTTTCACTTTTTTTGTTGTTGTTGCTAAATTTATCATTCAATTTGTGTTTTACATTCAGCGTATATTTTTCATATATTTTCCATGTATTGAGTTTCATTTGGTTTCAATTCAACTTTTTTTTTTGTTTCGTTCAGATTGTGTGAGTTTGTGCGTGTGTGTGGTTTGAGTCATTATTTTCATTTTCATTCAGTTCGGTTATGGTTTGCCAATGAAAATATTGATTATTTTGGGACACATTAACAAACAAAAATAAAATGCGAAGGAAACAAAAAACGAGAACGAACACGCGTGTTCTGGGGTAAGGAATCGAAACGGATACAATTAAATTTTGTTGTCAATCAATCGAATCTCAGCTGTGTGTCGAGTGAAAAACCAGACAGAGGTTAACGAATCAACGGATCGTTTTTTTTTCGTCTCTTTCTCCTCCATCCAACATTTATATCATTCATCATTTTGTCCGTTCATTTGTATACTTTTTTTTACTTCTTCATTTAAATTGAAAATTCCAAAAGTTCAATCACACTCACATCTACACTGACACTACATAAATATTTCAATTCATATCAAAAACATGTTCATCCATTTGACCATTTTGCTTGCTCATTCGTGTGTGTTGTTGTTGTTTTTTTGCATTTGTGTTTGTACAAAGTAAAAAAAAAATCCCGTCGCGTGAATGGATATCATCGGGCATCACTTTACTAAATTGCATGGAACCACGTGTAAATCAATCGGAATCGAACACCAACAGAAAAAAAGACGAGAAAAAAATGCATTTAAATCAATTTTGATTGTGTTGTCATCGAAACCGAATGGAAAACTACCTGGAGCTTTTTGGAATTGAATAATATCAAATCATTAAATCTGCCGATTAATTACTTTTAAATCAATCTTCTCAACGGACGATGAAATGCGTGAAACTGTTTTTTTTTATTCGATGGAATCGGTCTAATCATTTTGTTGTTGCATTGTTTTCCCCCTTGCTCCACTCGAAATAAAAGGCATGGAAGATGAAATTTGCCCGTACGCAACATTCCATTTGCTTGGCTTCCGTGAAGAAATGGACCCGACCAAAGCCATGAACTTCCAAACATTCCCGCATCAAAACGGTACAGCTACACCAGGCCATACAGGAACCATGGGAACTGGCCCATCCAATGCACACATGCATTCGCGATCTGGATCGCAATCAATGGTAAGTGGATAACTTGACAGCAAGGATAAGGCATTGTTGTCTGTTTGAAAGACATTTTTCGACCTGCAAAATCTTACTAAAATCGAATCTTTTTATTCACCACACCAGAATCGATATGCCCGAAAGAATAGCCAAGGTGGTCAAAGTTCAATCTATTCACCGGCTCCAGAATATGATGATCCAGCTAATTGCGCTGAAGAGGATCAATACGTAAGTTCCAATTGTGGATTTTATTTGTTGATTTTTTCTCTCTTCTTTGAAAATTTGGATGAAAATAGAAATTCACGCAATTTTTCGTTTTGCAGCGACGATACACACGTGTCAACTCACAAGGTGGCTCATTGTACGGTGGCGGTCCTGAATACGATGATCCAGCCAATTGTGCTCCTGAAGATGATCAATACGGATCTCAATATGGCGGAAACTATGGCGCGCCATATGATCACTATGGCTCTCGCGGCTCAGTCGGCCGTCGTAGTGTCGGTGGGTGTTCAAAAATATTTACTTTTAATTGGAAAAAATTACATTTTCAGCGAAATCAAGTACGAAATTATAGGAAAAGTGTTGAAAAAGTCGTAGTTAAGTAAAAAAAAACAACAACTGAAGTTTGTCACTTAGCCATGTGACTTCAATAGGAAATTGAAAATTTTTAGCTTCAAAATCATCAAATTTCAAGCCTTTTGACTCTTTAAAGCCATAGACCATATGTGACTTGAGTAAAATCTTACCATACCTACTCTCATCTCAAATAGGTTCAACTCGAAATCTGCCGATAAATGGATCACCAGAGCCACCAGCACCACCGCCACGTAATCACGATACACCACGTGGTGACCGTGACCGTGACCAAAGTCTCAACGTTTCAAACGAAAGTAATGAAATCTCTGAAGCGGAATGTGATCGCGATCACCCACGCGGCAACTACGGAGGTAAGACCACCATTATTGAATCGATCTCTATTGCACGATGAAGAACCAATCTAGCGACTATATTTCGATATATCAATATCTTTCTGTCTGTCCAACGTCAATTCAAGATTTGTGAGGTTCACTCACAATGTGCCATTTCATTCTTTCTTCTTCAAGCATTTTGACAACAAATGAACAATATAATTAATGCAAAATTCCTTCTTTTTTTTCTCTCTCTCATTTTTCATTGAATTTTACTTCGAACCAAAAAAAAAATCGATTAAATTCGAACAAAATTCCGATTGAATACAATAAATCTCCCAAATTGAATTGCGATATTGGCAATAACGCAAAAACAAAACCAAAACGAAACAAAAAAAAATCAGAAAAAGAGAATCCTGATGGTGAGTCAGAAACGATTAAATTAGGTTAATCGAATTGTTGAGTGGAATGCATTTGAACATATGTCATTAGAGTGACGTCAATGTTCGATTAGTGAATGAAGCGTTCTTTTTTTGTGGGTTTATTTCTTTCTATTGTGACATAGTGTCTTTTAATTGCTGGACTGAACACAGTCCATCCTTTGTCCATTCATTTGAGTGATTTTTTTTTTATATTTTCCGTGTGTATTTCTTTATCGTTTTTAGCAAAGTTTGTTTGCCGTTGTTTTCCTTCTTCTTCTACCCAAAACAAAACAATCTTTATTTACCTCTCATTTCTATATATCTTGTTTGCCCCTGTCTCTTTGCAATTACAACAAAACGTTAATTTCAATTCAATTTTTACCCAGTAATCACTGTATAGAAATGAAATTTTCTCTCAAATTTTAAGCAAACATCACTCAAATAATGTAAAACATGATTGTTGTGCATCAGATGATGTCTGAACAGATTTTGGTTTCATTTCAAAATTTGGTTTTTGTATCCCTTGTGAATAGTCTAGTTTTGTCAAATTGTTTTCTGCCGACTTTTTAATGGGAATGATTTCACCAATTTTTTTTTTTTTTTACCTTTTTCTACTTATTTTCCTTCATTGCCATGAGAACCGTTCTCATTGCACTCTTTTCATCCATATTTTTCTTCATTTTTCGTCATCAATTCAATTGACTCAAGCAAACTTATTCGTTTGTTTACGTCGCATAACTTAGATCATTCAATTAAATCATCATAAACATAGTTTTAAATATTTTATACGAGATTCGGTTCTATTCATCTTCACCAGTCCAACTTTTGGTTTTGAAACTATGCATTCTGAACAAATCAAAGAAAACAAACGATTTTTTTTTCACCCACAACCACCATTTTATCCATTACCATTGAATTTCTTTTCATTTTTAACACAATTCAAAATTTGATTTGGCCTTCATCGTTTTAATTTCGCCATATCTTTCACATCGATTTTTGGTTTTTATTTACACATTGTGCTTTGGTTGGTTCGTTGTCATTGGATTTGTTTTCATACTATTTATTATTCATTCATTTGCGTGTGGTTTTTCCCTTTGCACAATCCGGAAGTGAAAATGTCATTTTGTATGTGAGCTAATGTGTCGGCTAACTCGATTCAAATCGGAATAATTGGGCATTTGATATCCGAATAGTTCAAATTAAATGCTTGAAATTCGAATTTAACATTTGGAATTGAAATGTTGAATCATCACATTAGAAATGCTTGATTGTAATTAACAAATAATTATCAAGGTAACATTTTCTCTAATGTTAGCAACCATTCATTCATTTCTCCAGGAATTTTCCGCATGCCATTAAAGACTTGAATCTTCAATCAATAGTTTATCGCTTTTAATTACAAGATCATATAAAAAATGGTAATAAATCAAGAGTGTTGAGCATTTCTTACATACAAAGTGTCCGTTTTCACTATTTAGTTTGTACACAAGTGTGTGGCGCTTTCGATGTCATCAAAGCAAGTCCTCACACAAACCAGTTCAGCATGAGTTCAATGTCAGTAATCGAGTGAAATTTGTCTGGATTTTAACCAAAAAGAAACTCTCTGTGTTTTGTGTTTAACTTTATGTTTGGTTCGGCTCTAACTAATTCTATGTTAAAAAAAACATTTTCCTTTTTTTCAATCCATAAAAATTCATTCTTTTCATAAGAAATGATTTTTGATCTTTGAAGAAAAAAAAATCCTCTAAAGAGAACCAAAATTGGTTCAAATGAAAAAAAAAAAAAAAAACAAATTTCCCTCAAATCCACTTGAGTTCGACGAAAATAATCGCATACATTTGAATGTAAATGTCTAGTTAAAAGTTCCGTTCGCTTGAGATGATTACTGAAAGTTTCAGTCTGAAACCGGATCAGATGATAAAATGCATGATTTGCTTGCGAGTTGCATATATGCGATAGAGCGCTATAAATAGACAGCTTAAGAAAATTGAAGAATATCATTCAGAAGTGGAGAATGCCGGGAAATAGTTGAGTTCAAGCATAAGACTTTTAACCTTGTCAACAGAATTTGGAGAATAAACTTAATTAACTGAATGGCTTTGGCTTGAGTACTCTTATCTGGATATTCATCCAATTTATTTTCCGGAAAAAAAGGCAAAATTTCTTCATCTACTACCACAAGATATGCTTTAACATACGAACCATGAATGGTATTCTTTGATCATTGCTTTTTAGCTGAACATTTCCTTTCGATTCTAGATGATTATTCCAACGACAAGCTATCTGCTTGGTGATTTCTTATTCAAATCCGCTTTAAACGTACACTTACTATAATCAGCTGAAATCCCTATATCCATTTGGTTTTCCTCTAAATTTTAGACATTTCTCTATATTTTTTTCTGCATTGTGTTTATGTTAAATTTGTATGTAAATGTAAAAATATAAGTCAATCCAAACGAAAAAAAGCAAAAAAAAAAAAAAACAACCAACAAATTATTTTTATACAGCCAAAAGGTCGCCAAATGCAAAAGATGGTCGTACTCCCGAAGAAATTCGTAAATTAATCGACAGGTAATGAAAACGCTTCCCACACACACACATACAAACAAACAAACAAATTAGGTTGAACATTCTAAAAACAAACAAAAACTTCACACAATTTCCGTACAAAAAAAAAAATTCTCATTGAATGCCAAATTAAGACACAAAAAAAACGCAACCAGTTCGTTAACGCATTAGAATAACAAACAAATTAATTTTGTTGTTGATCACCTTTTTATTCATTGCTGTTTGTAGTCTCATATATTTGTTTTCCACCAAACGAAAACAACTAGTTTTCTTTCTTTTTTGTTGTCTATTTTCCATTTGCCGAGGCAACTCCGTTCATCATCAATAAACGAAAAACGAAAAAAAAACCATTTCATCAAAATACCGCCTATCAAATTCAAATCTCACATTTCACTCAGAACAAAACATTCATTTGCTGCGGCTCCTGTACAAATAATGCACAATTCATTTCACATTTCCTGTCAAACCATCCCCACCGCTTAGAATGCTTACAAATTTTGTTTCAATGTCGTTTTGTTTCTCACAAACATTTGGCATGATAAGATTTGTTTTCTTTTATTTAGAAAGATTTTCGTGTATTTCGGCGCCGTTTAGAAACAATGTTACCATAGATGAAAGAGACGATTTTTTTATTATTACTTTTTCTACTGAGCTTCATCAATTCATTCATCGACACTTGTCAGTCGTTCTGAATGTCAACATTTAGCTTTTCCACCGGGAGCATGAAACAAAGTTATGCTCGAGAAAATCCATAGCAAAGTGGTGATTCGTCAAACATTTTGTCCAAATAGTGACATATTTTCCTTTGAATCGTCGAGAGGCAGCAAATCCGTTTATTCCCTTTCGTTTATCACTAAAATTCTCCTAGACAACATCAACAACTATAACAATTTGAAAGCTTTAACATTAAAATACTTAAGGGTTTTTGGAATAAAAAAACAGTGTGCTAACAACATTAGGGTCGTAAGTGGGTAGGACACACAAATATGCATGCAAAGTGTATAATCAGCGGGAAACACAATTTTTTTTGCGATTCCATCAAACTCGCCCCAACTCATACTAACACAGAGCCAGTATATAACCCATATTTATATCACATTATGCCATTGACATCATGCATCATTCACACTAACTAAATGCTTAACTTGCATGCGCTCGTACACATCACTCATATTTTTTGCTAATGATGGTAGTTTACCGTAGAATTATGCATGCACATAGGTTTAAGTGCTTTTTTTTATAAATAAACAATATTGATTTATTTCAACAAGTCAAAAAAAAAATAATACAATTTTGGACATAATTTTCCCTAAGCTTAATGGTTAATTTTAAATTCCAACCACCCTCCCAACCCAGAACAAATACGTCGTGATTTCCCAATGCGGATAGCGCACGCAGAATCACACACGTTTGTGTTTTCCCAAAACATTCGAAGCGAAATAGGTGCATTTCGTGGAAACAAACGGTTTTTGTTGCGAAAAATGGAGAAAAAAATCAATAAAAAACGATGGAAATTGTCTAAAAAACAACGATCGCTAGAAAAAAAGAATCATGTCTATTATGGAAAATGCACCTATTTCCACGAATTACCACCCGTTCATTCAGTCAATTCAGTCTATTTTAGTCATAATTTTTTGCTCATATTTTCTTTCACCTTCGATTGCTTCAAAAGTTCTGCAATTCACGTGTCAATGTGTTTTTTTCTCTATCTTTTTTTCTCTCCATTCAATTGAAATTCATTGACGTTTTCCTTTCAATGAAATATTTGATTGTCAATGAACGAACAAAACCAACGATTTTAGAAACGAAATTACAGCAACAAAATTCCAACAACAAGGCGGCTGCACAGGACTCACAGCCTACGATACTATGGCAGTATAATTTGTAAATGCGTTCTAAATAAACTACCCGAATGGAGTAAAAACCATTCAACACGATCAAAAAAAAAATGAAGAAGAAGAACAAACCTAAAACAAAATGTGAACAAACGCGTAATGAACATCCACACACACACAAACAGACAGACAAACACATACACTAAACTACACCAAAAAAAAAGAGCAACAACATAAACTCTCAGAAAGCAATAGAGAACGCAACATCCTGAAGTCATTTCAACCGAATCAAATTAGAAACCGAAATGAACACATCCCTGTTTCATTGTAGCGGTGAACAGGCGACAAGAGAAATAAGAAAACGAATGAAAAGCAGACCATAAACAAAAGACTTCAAGACAACAGCACCAATAACTGCCGCGTAGGCGAAAATGATGAAGAGACAGTAGTAGTTGATGACGATACAGATAAAACAATTATTCGAGAGAATGCGCGAGCCAAAAAAAGGAGTGAAGAAGAGAAGATAGAATATACATGAGTATAACAAGTAATGAATTAAACCAAAATTCTATTTAGTGTGATGTAGTTGATGAGAAAAGTTTACGCATACGTACGATTTAATAGGCAAACCACATACTAACTAGAAGATGTGAGAGAAACGAAACAGATAGAATGAAAGAGTTAGAGCGAGAAAAAAAAAACGCAAAAGAATAAGATTGATGAAAAAGAAGAAGAAGAAGAGGAAAAAAATTATTATATTACGATTATTATTATTATTGCTATTAATTACATTAATTGTGCCCCCGATAATCGATAGAATCTAAATACAAGTAAATTAGTGAACAAAATATACCGTCATCTAAAAGTTAATTGATTATCTGCAGAACAAACAGAGAGAAAGAAAAATACGGGAAAATTAACAAAATGAAACTACATAAAGGAAAACGTACGACTATTCATTAAACCACTTATCTAATCTTATATATATATATATGCCAGCTCTATAATTTTTTTTTTGTTTTCGGTTCGTTGACGAAATGAAAGTGAACGACGTAAATTGAAGGACACAATCGCGCCCAATCAAAAACAACAAAACCAATTAATTCATTCGAAATTTCGTTCTGATTGAATTTGCGATTGAGTTAAATGAATCAGTTCATTGAATGAGAATATACGCACGCAATTTTCTGGACATCAATCTATAACAAAAACAACAAAAACACCTATGATTTTGTTGATGGCTGACATTATATATATATATATATATATATATATATACACGGTTCACATTGGGTTTTTGCATTTCAATTTTGAGTTTCTAGCAAGACGATGACTTCTCATAGGTGATCACTGACTTTTTCATGGGTTTCAAGACAAACCTCTGCATTTTATGTAGTATTCAAAATGGACAACTCCATTGACTTCCAAAATGAAATACCTGAAAAAAGCCTGATGTGTGTGTCAGTCTTGCATTTTAGTCATATGATAAAAGCGCCTCTCATTTTCATTTAACTTCGGCCAAGAAGAACCGTCTCAGTCAAAAAACTGGTCGTGTAAATTTTTTCTTTTTCGTTGTCTTTTGTTTTTCATAATAAACGCGCTGTGCCATTTTATTTACATATAAAAACGAAACATCGCACAATTTGTATTACCGTCAAAATGAAAAGAAAAACAAAACTCTTTGATATTTTTTGACTGACTAAATGTAATTAAAAACGACGACGACGACGACAAAAGACCGACAAGCGAACTGCATACTTTTGCTCCGTTTCAATTCACCACCACACGCGCACACTGTGTGCGGCACACACCATTTCAAACAATATTCATTCATTTTAGGCTTTTCTTTTTGCACCGAATCATCGCTGTTTTTCGACAGCCGTTTTTAATGACTTTCCCTCCCCTCCTCATTTTTGTACTGAGGTATTCAAATTTTTGTATGCATTCGACCAATTTCGAAAGAAAAAAACACATTGGTATTGGCACTACCGATGCATTCAGTGATTTAATTTTAATGTTTAATTTCATTTCTCCACATATCTTCCTTCAATGAAAAAAAAAAAACAAACAAATTATCGACGAATATATATTTAGATTTACAAGTATTTACATTTAATTCACGTGTTGTGACTTGTCAACGCATTTTATTTTTTAGTTTCTTTTCTTTCTTTTTTTTTAAATTTTGTAGTAAAATATGAATATTTGATTCTTTATATTCTACTACTGAAAGTGATACATAACAAAACAATCGACCGCACGCGATAAACGTTACATAGGTTACACCTCAGAATGATATCGCAGGTTTTAATATCGAATTTCACGTGCTATGGCTGTCAAATGTCATAGTTTGAGTTAATTTTATTTTTATTTCTTTTTTGTTATTCTTAAGCTTTTTTTTTGTATAATTTTGTGAATTTTTCGTTTACTTGCGAAAAAAAGCAACAATTGCAAAGGATGGTATGGCAGAGGCCAGAATGACTGATGGTATAGTTCCTCTTAAAATATCGGCTTTGCGCGAAGACACACAAATCACTAGCGCAAGCAACACACCAATGAACTAGTCGGAATTCATTCCTCTAGCATCGGCATTTTGTCGTCAGTTCCCGTCGAGAAATGTCTCGATGCATTGACATTCTGTGTGTTTTGCTCAAAATGTATTCACGATTTGGAACTGAGCTAATCCAGAACTGATGAATCGAATTTGAATCAAATGAACTTTGCTCCGACTTTGAAGTTTTAGTAACAAGCTTTCATTTTGGAATCTAAACTGTTTTAAATATCAATCTCCAATTTCGATTTTCTTCATAACACCCGATTTAAATTCGATATTAATTTTGGGCTTCAAAACGAACAAAGCAAAAAAATACCCAGAAAAGTGTGAAATTTGTGAAAATCTAAAAACAATTTAGATTTATGTGTGATTCTCTTATTAGAAACGTTAAAAAACGGTTTCAAAATGTGTTGCTAAGTTCTGAGCTTTGGAAAAAGTTAAAGATTTGTGATATGTTGCACTGAAACTTCTTGCCAAAATAAAAATCGCTCACGTTTTGCACTTTCTGTGTGTATTTTTCTTTGCATTCAAAATCGGCAACGTTCAATTTCCACCAAACTGGTTTTATTTGATCCGAAAAGAACCGAAACAATTTAGTCACACGATTCAAATCGAATAAAAATGGTTACCAGTGATTGTTGATCGATTTCCCCATTCGATCCGCTGGAACATACCATCAAACATCCTGGTAAATTTAAAAAAAAAAAACAAATGCAAACACATTTCGAGATTTTATTTTATAAGTTCCAAATGGCAGAATTTGGACACATTTGTATTTTATAAGTTTCTTTTTCATTTGCTTCCAAAAACCGAAACCAATAATTTCGAACAATTGTGACAATGTTATTAATTTGCATCACCATACCACTGCATACCGTCGAAAATCGTTTTTTTTCTATGTATACAAACGACGATGTTTTGAAATAAACAACCACGTGTGAATGAAACGCAGTTTAAGAGTAGTCTATCGATTATATATAAAAAGAACAAAGCTTATAAATAACCCAGAACATTAGGTAATTAATTTTTTCGTGTTTTCGTGTACTATATATCACCAGCAAATATTTCAAGTTGTCATATTACAAAGAAAAATGCTTTTGTTTTTGGTACTTTTTTTTGATGAGAAAAAAAAACCAATCACACCTAATACCAATTTACAAATAAATATGATTCATTGAAATTCATTTAATTTTGTGTTTAATCGTTTTATTTGATGGTTTTCTGTTGTTGTTTTTTTCTTTGAATTTTCTTTGAAATCATTTCAGTTTTTCTTTGATCGACAATCATTATCATTTCAAGTTTTGTGTAAGTAAATTTTAAACAGCCTAAGTTGTGTTACTGTGTTTATGGATCGAGCATCGGGTGTCCATTTTGGGTCAACCGTGTCAATCAGCATGCTTTTCGTTGGGACAAGAAAACAGACACACACACCACAAAATTGCCAATTAAGTTTATTGCACTTGAAATGTTCAAGTCTTGAAAATGACGCTAATTCCGTCGATGGAAAATGATGGTATTTTTCGAACTTTATTTTATAAGAATAAACAATCCCCCAAAGAAATCGATACAAATTTGAAAACGTTATGCGCCAAGAGATGGAGATGAAGAAAGGAGGTGTTATAACAAATTCGAATTGAACAGGTTGTGGAACTAGGTTGTGCAGTGATAGAAAGAGAGACGTGTATATGATTCGAGAACAAAAAGTTTGTTCATTTGCCATCCAAAAACCCGCCCCCACCTCATCCCGTCATTCCCAATCAATTTTTCAATCATCCATTTGCCAAATGACCCAAGAATATTCACTTAAAATGCTTAAACCATCGAAAATGTTTGCTGATTGGCCACACGATCCATACACACCTACACACGGTTTGTATTCGTGATATTACTTTTTATTTCATTTTCGGTTTCATTCGAACAAACGTCCACTGTTTGAATTAGATAGAAAGAGAGTGCGCGAGAAAGAGAAAAAGGGCACAAGAGGTGGAAATAGCGCAAGAGAAAGGATAGTGGAAACGAAATTTCGATGGAATGAAGGGCGCTCAATTTGGAATTGCTCATAGAATTTTGGTTAGCGATATGCTTGTGCGAATGAAAATATATTTACGGTAAAAGAAAGAATGACAAAACAAAAGAATGTTCACCATTTTTTTTTTCTCTATTCTGTAGCATAATTTTAGCTACCCCAAATTAATTTGCTTATAAATCCTTCATTTCACGGATGTATTAATGCCAAAAAAAAAGAACTACTAACAATTGAAACTAGAAACCCATTGTGAATGTTTAACCCTTCATCATCAATCACCGATCGTTTATCAGTATAGACGTCATATCGCAACATTTTCTTACTACAATTTATATAAGTCATTTTCCACAATTGAATATGTGAACTATGTCTCTGTTTTATGCTATTACTATTATTGGAGGCACATGTAATTGTTTTTTTTTCCTCGTCGAAATGAAAAAAAAAAACAAATTGAACACAAAAAATAAAAAATGACGCACCTCATGTGAATGAACAAAAAAAAAAGAAATCGATTTTCATAATTCTTTTTTTACGCCC